TTTATTTTTCACACATAATTCTTTAAATGATTATAAGCAAAAACCTGTCTATTGGCATATTATTATATTTCATTGTATTGAAGCTGGTTTTTTTGTTGTTATTGCCAAAACCAGCATTAGAAAACTAGAGCTCTTGAAGGAGCTGCATTGGTACTGTAGATCAAGGTTGATGGTTCAAAACCACTAGCCGCTTCATGGGAGACAGATGAAAGATGAGGCTGTCTGTTCCTGTAAATATTTACAGTCTTGGGAAACCCTATGTAGAGTCTCTCTGAGCCCAAATTAACTCAATGACAGCAAATTTTGTATTTTTTTTAATGACATATGAGATGTATCACTATATTTAAGAGTACGAGTCCTTAAACTTACTAGATATTGATCTGTGACTATTTTACTAATAATATATTTTATGATATTTCGGTTATATTTTTGGATATGCAAGCACTTGATTAGCAGAAATTATCTAATCTTGTAAACTATCCTTAAGATGATGACTAGTGTAGATAAGTAACTGAGATCCTCAGTGGTTCAAGGACTTGTTCAACCACAGCACAAGCACTTGGCCAAAGTCTGATTTTCATCCCTAAGATATATTTTTTCTGTGTGACCAAGTTGTTTTTCCAGCTCTTTTGTACTTTTCTTGAGGCTATTTGTTGAAGCAATTTTATTGTATATTGTGTCTTTTCCTAAAAATAATAACTGATTTTAAAAAGTAACAAAGCATCATTAACTCGGCTCCGACCATTCTTAACCAGGTTTAGAAATACTGTATTCTGAATGTCCAACTCTGAGTCAATATGTTACTGTTCGTCTAGGGGCAGATGGACCACAAACCTTGTAACAAGTCTTGCCCCTCCTCCGAGTGCCACAGAGAGAGCTCTGTGCCCCTCCAGGTTGGGGAATCCAGGCTGCTTTTGTGGAGGCCACACTCTGCCCTAGTATATCTCCTAGAAGCATTGTGGCAAAACTCAGGGTGGGAAGTGAACTACTTTTAAAGGCGCAGTGTCTGCTCGCAGCCAGCTATTGTAAACAACACCCACCTACTCTGCTGCACTGTGAGAACAGCAGGCTTGTGTTTTGTATGCTAGTTTGTGGTTAATCACAGCCTGACTCGCCATCAGTGGCAGACCTCGTCAGTCTAAAGCTACAGCTTCTAAGGTGTTTTCAGATGAAGTAGAGTCCGGTCGTTCCTGACTTACTATTTCTTGTCTACTTGTTTCTAGATAAAAGATAAAAACTAACCCGCTGACTGCTTTCAGCCCCCTTGGGGGGGAGGGGGGGGGGCGGCAGCAGGAGGAAAGGAGGGGAGAGAATTTCAATACAGGGCCAGGCTGCCAATATTCAGAAGAGGGGAAATAAATAATGTTCAGCAGTCCAGCCAACTCTTTCGATAGGAAGATACATTATTATTCCAATTGGCTGGTATCTAATCACGTTGCTAGGGATTTGATGTCAGCTATCACTGAGCCCCAGAATTGCGTGCCCATCCCTTTGGCCGACACAATAGAAACAGCCAGAAGACTGGTTGTACGTTGAATATTACTAGCAAATCTCTAATTTGTACCGACCATTTTACTCTCTTAACATAATTAGTCTTAAAGTACCCTGAGTATTGCTGGTAATTACTGCTGCTGTTCTAAAAAGATATTTTAGGCCTTATTGAGTAACTTTTTTTTTTGCACGGCTTAAGGAATTTTTATTAAAGCAAGAATTTTATAATCCAAATCACCTTGCTCAGTCATGAGTAACTTTTGTTTTACCAGTGACTACAGGGACGTTTATTTACTATGGCCACTGAAGAATAGATAAAATGGCTGAAAGAGGTTTTTGGCTGTCAGGATTTGGGGCAAGGGGAGTCAAGAGAAGTCAAGACTAGTCAGATTAAGACTAAGAGATCAGCGGACAGTGAAAGTTCTTTTTTCAGAACCAGCAGGAAAATAATTTGGGTTTTTATTGTTCTTGTCTTTTGAAATACTTACAGTGGTTTCTTCCATTGGCGACCTTTAAGAGGGTTTACTTGAAACGAATGGCATCAGCCATGTAGCTTAGTTTATAGAGAAAAGCAGGTTAAGGAAGTTGTCCTCTGAGGGTCCGTCTGTTAGCTCTCTGTCCTAGTGCTGCTGGAACACAGACTTTGTAACACGACGTACTATAGCACTGAGTGTAGAAGATAAGGCCTTTTAAAGTCTGTAAGACTGTCTTCATCATTTGGAGTGGGAATGGTTAAATCTTGGCAGCAATTTTGTTGCCTCCTTTTCCTCTTACCAAACATTGTATAGCACTGTAGTTGAACGGTAAGTCGTCTCGAACAATTGGATATCCCTTTGATAACGGGAAAAGCAGCTTCAAGAGTCCTGGTAGCACAGTGGTTAGCATTGGGCTGTTAACCACAAGGTCAGCAGTTTGAAACCACCAGCCACTCTGTGGGAGAAAGACGAAGTTTTTACTCCAACAAAGAGTTATAGTCTTGGAAACCCACAGGGACAGTTTTACATTGTTCTGTGGTATCGCTGTGAATCAGAATGGCTTTGATGGGAGAGACTTGTTATTGCTTGTTTGCTTTTTTTGGTATTTCTCACTGGGTACAAAATAATAAATTCTGAGTAGATTTGTGACTTAAATATGAAAGGTAAAAACACTGAAGGCTTTTGAAGATAATAAGATGAGAAGATCATTAATTACCTGAGAGTCAGGAAATATTTCTTAAATAGAATATAAAAAACACAAGGGAGAAGACTCATAAATCAGATTGTGTTAAAATGAAGAATCTACGTGTATCAAAAGGTTGCACGTGGAGAGTGAAGAGTAAGTTCCGGGGGGTGGGGGGGTGGGGGGCGGCAGTGTTGGCGCTGTGTATTTGAGCCCCAAGGGAAGATGAGTGGAATTGCACCTTTCGGGGAGAGGCTGTGAGCGGTGGGAGCGCGCCGGGCTTCGGGGCCCTGGCCTAGGCTGCTGCTCTTGAGAAGGTGGTGTAACTTCCCCTTCACCAAACCAAACGTGTGTGATGCATTCACCCACATCGAAGCACACTCCTGACCCTAAACAACAAACAGAAGAAATGAAAACAGTAAAGAACTAGTTTGTAATTATGTAGTAAAAATTTTAAATAAAAGATGGGTCCTGTGGTTTGGGATAAATTTTCCCAAGCCAATGTTTTGGCTCAAAAGTACTGGGTATGTCTGTAGACTTCAAAGATGGAAGAGAAGCTGTACACTGGAAGCTGATGCTAATGACCCAAGGCCATGGCTGCAGGCCCATGACATTAAACACCCATGTCTAGACTGGTATTTGAAAAGGTGAGAGCAGTTTAAAGCGTCGGAGATGAAAATAGCGTCTGTACTCAATGTTATAAGTAAATCTCTTCATTTCAGTTCTGTGCCTCACAATTACACATTCTAGTTGGCTAGAAACAGTTTTTCCACTGTGAGAATGGTGGGTGCTTTTTATTATTTGGTCCTATATATCATTGTTGGTACAGTAAGCTCTGCTATTACATGCTATAAGCAGTTATCAAGTCACCCCACTAATGCAAAGTCCTGCTTTCAGAACCACAGGGCTTGGGGGAAAATGGGATCCCAGCACTCAAAAATTAATTCGTGAAAGATAACTTGATAAAAGTGGCTGCCTTGTTTTACACATGTTAAAGGACGGAAAAACACATCCATAACAGTAAGCGTGGTCCTTTGCCATGAAAACAGCCTGGCCTCTAACGGACACAGTTGCTATGGGAGAGAGCTTTGTTCTGTTGTGCACTCTGCAAGGGAAAGATGAAACTTTCTGTTCCTATAAAGAGGTGCAGTGTCAGAAACTTGTGGGGCAGTGTTTCCCCTGTGCTATGGCCAGGATTGACTAGAGGCCAGTGAGTGTAGTTTTGCTGTAGTTGTTACCTCGGGTGGCTCTCTCTTCTTGCGCCCAGAAGCAACAGGCGTCCATGTTCATTTCGCTCTCACTCTGGGCTGTTGGGCTGGTGACAGGGAGGCTTTAGGAAATGCACCCCATGTTTCCATCTGCACTCCACTTTCTACACTCCCACTCAGTGCCCTGAGCCAGAAGCTTGGCCTCCCTCACTCAGTATTACCATCGGCCTCCTCCTGTCTGGTCCTTTTTCTATGTCTCTGCTGGACTCACTGCCTACATGGTTATTATAGCATATGGCACATGGTTGTGAATTTTGGAAAACTAGGCCCTTGTTCTCAATACACTGTATGTCTTGAGACTAAAGAGCCAGTCCTTAACATTTTGTTAAATAGTACAGATTTTGGCAGTGGTGGTTGGGTAGAAAGGGTAGGTGGATGAGTGAATGAATGATGTGGACTTGAAGAGAGCTGTCTATAGGGTCCTACTATATATGTTATCCTCTCATTCTGACTGTTACCTGATCTCAAGGTATCAGCTTTATTAATATGATTTATGTTTTTGCAGTAACACTTTTTAACAGTGTAATAATAAAATTTCCTAATGTGAATTAAAGTTTGCACACCATCCTGGCTATTTTGGTTTTTGTTCTGCTGCTAATAGGTTAAAAAGCAAATGAACATGGCTAGGATCGAGAGCTTTTTTTTTTTTTTTTTTTTAAATATCTGTTACAAATGAGGCAGCTCTGACTCAGTGCTCCTATGGGACAGAAAAAGAATGGCCCTGTAAGGTTTCCAAGTCTGTACATCTTTGTTGGAGCAGACTGCTATGTTTTTCTGTGGAGTATCTGGTGGGTTCGAACCACCAACCTTTGGATTAACAGTGACTGTTTTAACTACTGCACCAGTAGGGTTCCTTTTGACACAGTAGAGTAGTAAAATTCTGTATCTTTTAGTTCACGAATGAAAAGTTATTTTTGGCATTTTCACTTATTTACATATTGATATTTGAACAATGCAAAAAGAAGGGGACCGTAGTTCTTTTAAGATAATGGGAAATTTTAACTGAATTCTTGATTAGTACTGAAATCTTAACTACCTTTTGAATTGCTTTTCAGATGTAGAAATGTGTCATTTTCTTTGTAGGACCTCTTTGTCATTCGACACGAACTGGCCATCATGAGACTGGCTGCCTTTATGGGTATTACGATGCTGGTTGGAATAACTGGACTCTTTTATACACAACTGATTGGCATCATCACAGTAAGTATGTCTTTCAGTGTGAAGTACTGCATTTATGGACATATCTCCTAATTAGATACTAGTCCTAGAACATTTAGAATCAGAAGTAAATTACCCATTATCATTTGTATATTCCTGTTTCCGTATAAAGCAGGTGTAAGTCCTGTATGAGTGTACATACACTTTTGTATCCTGCTCTTAAAAGTTAGTTGGAAGTGGTGTTTGTTTGTTTTTTATGACTGCATCCTTTGGTTGTAGCATTTAATGGTTATTTCTACTCTGTGAGGTGAATATAAAACCCAAACCACTGTGGTCGAGTCCATTCTGACAGAGTAACCTCCTGGGACCAAGAAGAACTGCCCCATAGGGTTTCTGAGACTGTAAATCCTTATGTAGGCAGACTGTCACAACTCTCCTACAGAGAGGTTGGTGGATTTGAACCAGTGAGCTTTTAGTTAGCAGCCCAAGGCTTAACTCCCTGTACCTTGTATAGTGTTCTAGTTGATTTACATCTAGTATATAAAATCACACATATTCAACTTCTCTTTCTCCTCCTTATTTACTTAGAGTAAATCCTTAAAAGTGAAGTTACTGGTGAAAACATTTTATATCAAATAAGTCTTGCTCTTTTTTGTTCTTATTTACTGATATGGGATTGAGTTTTTAAACGGTTGCCTTTTTTTTTACATGAAAAATGTACTTACAAACAGTATTTACTTATTTTCCTGTTTAATTATTACCTTAAGAGGTAGATAGTCAATTTGAGGCTTCAGATGTTGAACTGATCAGAGAGAAGATTGACTATACAAGGGAGCCTCAAAAAGTTGCTGTACACAAGGGACCCCATAGTTATGGATACTACCTAGACACAACCAAACACCTCACAGATGGGTTTGCTGCGTTTGAAGGCTTGGGACCATGGTTTTGTCAGATAACTCAGTCAGTTGGCATAACAAGCTTCATAAAGGCATAATGTTCTATATCCTAGTGTGGTGAGTAGAAGCTGAGGTTTAAAAAGAGTGCAAATGGCTAGTTAAGATACAACTATTGGTATCTATTCATCTAGAACTAAAAAGAATGAAGGAAACCAAAGATTTAAAGAAAAATTAGTCATCAGGACTAATAATGTACATGAACCATGATCAGCCTAAGACCAGAAATGGTGCCCACCTAACATACCAATGGTTCCACAATTGAAAATCCTGGAGAGAAAGGAAGAAAAACTTGAGTTCCTGAAAAGGACCAGGCTTAACTGGACTGATAGAGACTAGAGGAACCCCCTGAGGCTAGAGCCCCCTAAGATACTCTTTGAGCTTGGAATGAAAGTCACTACATGTGTAGTAACCTTTCATCCAAATAACAGCTTGAACTATAAAAGAAGCAGTATTGCTGGTGAATGCAGTGCTAATCAGCTATATGAGACCAAACAGTTGACATTTGCCCTAAAACAAAATGAGAAGCTGAGGCGGATCAGGAAAGCTGGGTTAATGAAAACAGAAGAGAAGGATGGAAATAATGAAAATGTTGACACATTAAGAGGGGAAGGTGGCAGGGAGAAAGGGGGAACCGATCACAATGATCTACATATAACCCCTTCCCTGGGGGATGGACAACAGAAAAGTGGGTGAAGGGAGACATTGGTCAGTGTAAGACATGAAAAAAAAAATTATCACAGGTTCATGAGGGTGCGGGAGGGAAGGGGAAAAATGAGAAGCTGATACCAAGGGCTCAAGTAGAAAGAAATTGTTCTGAAAATGATGGCAACAAATGTACAAATGTGCTTGACACACTAGACGGATGTATGGATTGTGATAAGAGTTGTACGAGCCCCCAGTAAAATGATTAAAAAAAAAAAGAAGAAGAACTAATCTCATGGAACAAGATGGTATGCACCTAAAACACATAAAATACTTAAAATTAAAAGTTACTATTCATATTTCCAGAATAACAGCATGTCCTGGCAAGGTTATGGATAAAACTGAGACAGTGTACATTGTTGGTGGACATGTAAAATGATAAAGTTGCTGTGGAAAACAATTTGGGAGTTTCTCAAGAAAATTAGACGTAAAATTACCATATTATCCACCAATTCCACTGCTAGGTATAGTCTCAGAATGCTTGAGAGCAAGGGCTCAAATAGAGAGTCGGGCACCGAATCTCATGGCAGCTTTGTTGTTGTAGGTGGTGTTCAGTCCGTTCTGACCCACAGCAACCTCATGCACCCAGAAGGAGGCACTGGGCGGGCGGTCCTGTTCCATCTTCACAGTGGTTCCCGTGCTTGATCCCGTTGTTGTAGACTTGATGTCAACCCGTCTTCTTGAGCCCTTCCTCTCTTCACTGCCCCGCTGTTTTACCAAGCATGACAGCCTTCTCCAGGAACTGGTCTCTCCTGACAGCATGTCCGGAGTATGTAAGGCAAAGTCTCACCATTCTTGCCTCGAAGGAGCACTTTGGCCAGACTTCTTCCAACACAGATCACTTTGTCTGTTTGGTCCGTGTTACTTTCAACGTTCCTCTTCAGCAATGCAATTCCAGCACATCGTTCCTTCTTCTTCAGGCTTTATTCAGTGTCCAACTTTCACATGTGTATGAAGCAATTGAAAATACCATCACTTGGGTCAGGAGCACCTGAGTCTGCAAACTAATTTCCTGGTTTCTCATTACTCTAAACTAAAGAGATCTTGTGCAGTAGATTTACCCAGTGCAACTCTCTTGACTGCTGCTTCCACGGACATTGATTGTGGATCCAAGCAAGGTCAAATCCCTGACCGTTTCCACCGTTTCTCCATTCCTCATGATGTGGCCTCCTGGTCTGGTTGTGAGGAGTTTGGTCTTCCTGACGTTGAGTTGTAAGCTGTTCTGAAGGCAAGTGTTGCCAGTTCTCCTCACTTTCAGCAAGCAAGCTCGTGTCATCTGCATACCGCAGGTTGTTAATTCATTTTCCTTCAATCCGGATGCCACATTTTTCTTCATCTAATCCAGCTTCTCTTGAGTATTTGCTCAGCATACAGGCTGAATTAAGTATTAGCAGTAGCGAAAGGATGGAAACAACTCCGTGTGTATCAATAGATGAATGGATAAAAAATGTATACACTTTAATGTTATTTAACCTTAAAGAGGAATGAATTGCTGATGCTAGGTCATGGGTGAGTCTTGAAATTATTATACTGACATATGTACAAATATGCTGGATACAATGGATGTATGAAATGTTCTAAGAGCTGTAAAAGCCCGAGTAAAATGATTTTTAAAAGTAATTGTTATACTGAGTGAAATAAGAAATGAAAGGAAATTGTATGATCTCACTTACTGAAAGACTATCTTTATTAGGTTCCCTGACTTCATTCCCACTCGTAGTGAGTGCAAGTCACCGAGTAGAACTGCCTCCGGGGCTTTAGAAGCTGTCAGCTTTCCGTCAGCTCTTTTCCTGCAGAGACACCCCAACCTTTTCCTTCACCAGTGTTTTTAACTAAGCCACAAAACCAAGCCTGTGCTATCTAGTCGACAATTCTGGGAGCAGACAGCCTCCGCTGTGTCCCTGGGAGCCCCTGATGGGTTGGGGCTACTCACCTGTGGTTAGCAGCTGAGTCCCGCTCCACGCAGAGACCTCCAAGCTCAACTGCCATCGCGTCAGTTCGGACTCTCTCTTAACCCCCAGGCCCTTTTATTTCTCTCCCCTTTGCTTTCCCTTTGATGATTAGCTGCTCTTTAAGGCCCGGCAGCTGGTAGGACTTCTTGATTATTCTTGTGGTTTATAAGAAGAAAAATCCAATGTTCCTATTGATTGTAGAAGATAACAAGATAATCATAGTAATGATATTCTGAAGTCATTCTAGACCTAGCATGAACAGATTATTGGTGACCTAGATAAAATAATTTGAAATCATTCCCACGGTTTCTGTTGAGGAGACTAATCTGAAGCCCAGTTTTAAAAAACGATTTCAGAATATTTTTAGATTTAATATTAAAGAGTTAAATAAACGTTTTCTTTGTTTTCATTTTTACTATGGTTAGCATTGGCATTAAAATGTGATTTTCAGGGCGGCCCCTTTCATTTATTTTCAGGGGGCAGGCCATTCTGTTTATTTCTTCTTGCACAGTCTAGTCATTTTGTAGCTGTTTCTGAGTGCAATGGTGAGTGGTGCTGTCTATTAATGTCATTGTTTTGATTAGAATTTCTTTCTGAGAGTAGTTCACACACAGCCAAAAGGAATGGCCCTTGTGATGAGCAGCCACCGAGCGGTGCCGGCGGTGGCATCAGTCATGTTCGCCGTCACTGGGCTTCGAAAGGCTTCTTCAGGAAGGGCTGTCCCAGCTGCTGCTGTGCGTTCTCGGGAGGCCCTGACAGCCAGCGATTGTACAGCGTGACACTGCCCTGACAGTTTATCTCCATCTGTATGCGAGCGTTTCTCTACTGGCTGGACACCGCGGAGTTCGTGCAGTAGCTGACGCGTTTGGATGGTGTCTTGGAGGCGTGGCGCTTTCCTCCGCTGTGTCAGGGGCAGGGGCAGGGTGGGCGAAGGAGACGTAGTTAGTTACAGTTTGTTAAAAGGCAGATTTTAAACTGTCAACGTAAAATTTGGTGCCCCCCTTTTTTTCTTCTGTCATTTGGCTTCACAGATACTATTGTTGGACACTATTGGAACTACTAAAGATTGCTTAAGCAAAGATACTCAGAAGTGGAAAACAGTTACTTTCCTCCCTTAAATTCAGATGCTTAACCTGCCATGTTAATATATACCAGATAAATACAGACAGAACCACAGAGGTTGTAGTAACTTAATTTTGAGGTAGTCATGTTATGTGACAAAAGGTCTCATGTTCAAAATGCTAAATCCATGTCAATGAGCTTAGCCATTAAATAGCAAATTAATGAGCTGGTTAGTGGATTTGCCTACCTTTTAATATATGGGCAGGGGGCGGGAGCAGAAAATGGTGGAAAATTTTAATCATCTTTTAATTCCATTTTTCTATGAACTTTTTCAAGTCTCCTTGTAGATCCAGAAATAATCAAGTCTAGAGATTATTAATCCTTATAATTAACTTTTGCCAAGTTTCCCACTGACTTGGTGTGGGAAATTAGTAGCATCCTGCATAATCTCTTCACACTTTGTGTTTGGTCTAGTCCACGTCAGCATTGCAAATAGGGAATTTGCTGCTAGTCGTGCAGAATCTGTGTGACATTTGTTTTCCATTCAGGGTCATTTTATCTCGGACAAAGGAGATAAACATTTTTATTATAACATTTCTGAATTCAATATTATGAAATAAATTCTAAATAGCTCTTTAAAACCTGGTAAAATCATTGTAAGTTAGAGTCATTTTTATCCCCTTCTTATACATACTTTTTTGCTCGCATAACTCTTGCACTGTAATTATTTTTGCATTTTGTAGACAGTGGAGAACTTGCTAGAAACTAAGTTTTTTTTATACCTAGAATTAAATTCCAGGAGTTAAATTCATACTACGTTATAATATTCTATTACAAAAGCCACTTTTGTTTGCTTGTTTACACATGATTTTGAAAAGCTGCATTCTGACACAAATGAGATGTGGTATCTCCAAGCCCTCTTAAAAAGTGCTAAGAAGTCAAACCAACATTTTTTGTAGAATTACCGCATATACTTGAGTATAAGCCGACCTGAGTATCTGCCGAGGCACCTAATATTACCACAAAAACTGCATTAAAAATGTGCTGAGCATGATAGTGGGACAAGAAGAAAGTGAAAGGAAGTAGAGGAAAGAACTAGGAGGCAAAGGGCATTTATAGAAGTCTAAATAGAGGCGTGTACATATGTAAATATATTTATGTATGATGGGGAAAAAATCTATGTGTATATATTTATAGTTTCAGTATTAAGGTAGCAGATGGACATTGGGCCTCCATTCAAGTACTCCCTCGATGCAAGAATACTTTGTTCTATTAAATTGGCATTCTGTGATGCTCACCTTCCCGACACAACCATTGAAGACATAGCAGGTGCATAAGTAAATGCAGTAAGAAAGCTGATGGTGCCCAGCTATCAAAAGATATAGCATGTGGGGTCTTCAAGCGGCCATCTAGCTAAGAAGCAACAAAGCCCACATGGAAGAAGCACACCAGCCTGTGTGATCACGAGGTGTCAAAGGGATCAGATATCAGGCATCAAAGGAAAAAAAATCATATCATTTTGAATGAGGGGGAGTGCGGAGTGGGAGCCCAAAGTCCATCTGTAGACAATTGGACATCCCCTTACAGAATGGCCGTGGGGAGGAGACGAGCCAGTCAGGGTGCAGTGTAGCAACGGTGAAGCACACAACTTTCCTCTCATTCTTTAATGCTTCCTCCCCCACCACTATCATGATTCCAATTCTACCATACAAATCTGGCTAGACCAGAGGGTGTAGACTGGTACAGATAGGAACTGGATGCACAGGGAATCCAGAACAGATGATTCCCTCAGGACCAGTGGTGCGAGTGGTGATATCGGAGGGTGGAGGGAAGGCAGAACCGATTACAAGGATCTACATATAACCCCCTTCCTGGGGGACGACAGTGTAAGACATGAAAAAATAATAATTCATAAATTATCAAGGGTCCGCGAGGAAGGGAAAAAATGAGCTGATACCAAGGAGCCCTTGGTGGCATAGTGGATTATATTTTGGGCTGCTAACCACAAGGTCTGCAGTTTGAAACCACCGGCTGCTCCATGGGAGCAAGATGAGGCTTTCTACTCCCGTAAACTCACAGGGGCAGTTCTACTCTGTTCTGGCTCATTGGAAGTGAATTCTGTTTGTCTGTTTGGTTTGGTTTCTGGGTTTTCTTTTTTTAAGTTCTTTATGCTAGAACTCTCCCCACCCCATTCTAGGTTTAATCTAGTTTGTTAAGATCCAGTTTTCATTTATAGTGAATCATTTTATTTGCTTCAATCTGAGAGTGTGTCTCTTAGGGTAAGATCAGACATCAGGAAAGATAAAGTATTAGTTGGTAAAATCTGTAAGACAGATAGCATTCTGTAAGTCCTGCTCTTTCCTTCGTGTATTTAAAAAATAACCTTTTTGTTTTTAAAAGAAAAACATTCTGATACATCTCTTTAGCTAAACAGATTGGGGGAAGCCTTGGCTGTTTTAATCATTAGATCATAAGCAAGGCAGAAGTGTTTTCTGGGAACAAGTTATCCGTATTGTAAGCCACATAGAGTAAAACCTGTTTCTTAGCATCCTTGCAGAATGAATTGTTCTGAGTAGCCAGTTTTTACCTCGAAGAATTTACAGATCTATTCTAAACTCAGAGGCTAGCACTGATCTGTTTGATCCTTCTCTGCTGGTCATGGGATAGTGAACCTTTTTATTAAATGAAATTTTCTGCACCAAAATCTCATTTAACTTATTTTTCTCAATGATCCCACATTTTCCTGCCTTATAATACAAAGGGCTAACTAAACCCAATTTCATGCTTGGGAATAACTCATGGTTTTTAGCGCTCCTCCTTGTAATTTGCTGTTACTATTCTCTTGGCGAATATGATGGTGCCATTGCTTATGCTTCTCCAAGTATGTTGCGTAAGCTTTAATGCAAACATGTTGCAGTGTTTGTATTTAGCCTGGGTGTTTGGCTGTTTGGTAATATTGACCTTTTTTGGTTTGCCTTGTTGTGCCTGTTCATAAAGTGAATGGTGAACTTCATACCCTTTGAAAGCAAACTTTCCTTAGGATGACTTCATAGGCAGTATCTAGTTATCTCAGGATAAACATACTAGGGGAAGGTACTAAAAGCGTATAGACGCATTTTCCAGATGAAATCTAAATCTAGTTAATGTCTTAGCCTCATCAGAATGTTTAAATGCCACAGATGAATTTTTCAGGGTTAAGATCAAGTGGTGCATATCTACAATATAAACATTTTTCATCATATTAGCTGGTTACCTAGGACTGACCAAGCAGTTGTCCTCCTTGCTTTGAAAGAGTTCACAGGTTTTAAGTGTTATTCACCAGTGTGATTTTAAGCTGCTCTTAGACCTTTCTGAGTGGCATTTCTTGACTTCTACCCCATCTTTCTGTCTCCACCTTTGCATACAGTTTGGATTGCTTTGGGACAATCGCCCCCTTCGACTCCTAAGAAACTCGTTTCTTTATAGATATGGAAACTGAGACCCCTTGTTCCCCTCAGCCCCCATCCCCGATCAATAGGCTTTTGTGTTTGCAGAAGGTGTTGTCGCAAGGTAAGACTGTTTGGAGGAAATTAGGCAGCAGAGTAGAGAAGGACTGATTAAATATAGAATTGTCATTGAATACAATTGCCATTGGATGAATTTCAAAGCATGATAAGGAAACTGATGAATGTATGCAATATAGATAATCCCTGTCTCTTCAGTAATCCTCAGAAAAGTCTGGAAAGAAACTCTGTTATTAGTCACTGATCATCTACAAACTAGTTTACCATTAGTTCTCTGCGCAAGAGAAAAATGAGGCTTTATCCTCCTGTAAAGAGTTACAGTCTCAGAAGCCCGCAGGGGCAGTTCTGCCCTGTCCTATAGGGTCCCTATGAGTTGGCCTCAGCTCAATAGTATGTGAGTGTGGTTATCTGAGCTAACTGTGGGTGTTCAAATAAGTCATACATGAGCATTTATGTATGTTATAGACTATCCATGTAATTTCTGAAAAGAATTTTTCAAAGTAAAGATGTTTTTTTATTCGTATCACTAGAAAAAGAGTTCTACAGCTAAAGAAGTTGGGGTTGGAGCTGTAGCCACAGGTGTTTGCCTGAGTGGTCCTGCCTTCCAGTAGAAGCGCAGGCCGCTTTCTGTCCGTGTGTGGGAGAGGTAGTAAGGTGAAGTAAGGGGCAAGAGGTAGAAAACTTCTACTTTAGATATTGGAAGCCTATATTTCCTCTTGTCTTACTGTTAAGTGTTTTAACAAATATGTATCTGAAAAGATTATGTAACATGTTTTGATTACTTAAATATTTTCACAATTTGTCACTTTAAAGTGGATTTGCTATTAACATAATTAAAGGAGCCTGAACAGAATTGTCTCATATTTTTACAATAGAGTGTATAGACAGCAAATTAATTGTATTCTAGAAAGTGACTCTTCTGTTAAAACAGAAAAATGGGTTTTATTTTTTTAATCAAAGAGCACTAGTCAGTTATCTTCAATTTTCAGATCAGCAACTGTTACACAATGGTGAGTTTATGGACCACCTCGTTGAATTTATTATTTCTCTTAACAGAAGTCTACACCAATAGCATTTTGTTCAGGGCAGTTTTCTATCAAGTAATGTCTTGCAGGTGTCATTTTGGCATTTATTTTTTAATGTGTGTGAATTGAAAATAGTATAAAGAATCATTAAGAAAGCAAGTTTAATCAAAGGATCTCTTTTAATGGTGGGAAGTGCCCACAATATTTGTGCATTTAAAATTTGAATAAACTTTATTAAGCATAATGTAATGTGGACTTTATATTTCCCAAGGAATCCCAGCCATGTATGTAGACAATTAAAATTTCTTAGTGCTTATATATAATCTGCTTTAAGTTTCTAAAGAGTGTCTGGGTAGGAATGAAAATATCACAAAATAGAAATAAGATAGAGATGTGAGAACTTCTATGCATCTGAGTTGGATATTGTTTATTTTTAACAGGATACAACATCTATTGAAAAGATGTCAAACTGTTGTGAAGAAATGTAAGTATAAAAAGTAAAATTGGAAGTATTCACCGTTGAGAAATTGGCCCTTACCGAGGAAAGAGAGCTGAATGCAGCTCTTCCTTGGTACCTGCCTGAGGCCCGAGCTGGGCAGGCACACCCCAGGCTTACAGCAGGGTCTTCTGCCCAGGGCAGTGCTCAAACCACGCAGTACTAATCATTCTTGTTCCCTGTCTAACTGCAGTAAGTGAAATGATTTGTCCTGAAAGTACATCAAACGAGATTTGCTACTGAGTTGTTGACGCACATTCTGTTAATCCCGAGATTCTCCTCGGCTTCAAAAGTTGCCTTAGGTTGATTGACGATACAGATACAGTTATCTGCTATCCAGAGTTTAAAACGCAGCTGCGTGCCATAGTGAGGGGGTGGGGGAGCTGTATGTGTGATGCTGGGACACAATTCATCAGCGTCCAGTAATGGATCCCCAGCCACCCCGTATTGTTTCAGCTGACTGAAGCGCACCACGGGAGCGCTGTCTTTCACTAATAATGCTGTCTTCTGCAGATCAAGGCCCCGAAAGCCGTGGCAGCAGACCTTCTCAGAAGTTTTTGGCACTCGCTGGAAGATCCTGTGGTTCATTCCTTTCAGGCAGAGGCAGCCACTGCGAGTCCCCCACCACTTTGCCAATCACGTCTAAACAGATGGATGGTGGGCACAGATGGGTCCTCCAGGCTGGAAATGCGTTACAGGTTTTATGATAATAGAACGATGACAGTCTTCAAGTCAATTAAAATCCACCCACCAATCTTCGGCATCACAGCATGCCCCGGGCTTTATTTTAATAGCGATCTTGAGCCTGTTGTGGGACTAATGTGTGATCTATATTTAAGTTTTAAAGCATGTTCACTTTCAAATTAGCTTTCCATGGGATTTCTTCAGATGGTTTTATTGTTACACTCAAAAGGAAGTGATTGGGATGAAATAATTGTACATAATTTCTTTGAGTACTGACAATGTTTCCGGTTCTAATTTGCGGGGCATTTCCAATGTTTACTTGAATTTAATTCTCCAGGTTTTATAGAAGTTGATACATCTGCTTATATTATGTGTAAAATTCTCTCTTCTAACACAGTTTAAAAGACTTGGCACTTCTTTTTATCTGCGCTGCAAGGTTTTAAAGATATGCAGCAAAGGAGTGAACAACATTGAAACAGGGCAATCTTTCTTAGAAGTAGCATTTTCATGTTTTCTCCTTTTCCTCAGCACCAAAACCAAAACACAGGCCCCACGAAAAGTGAAACCCCAACTACCTACCTTGCTTGAAAGGGAAGACCGACATCTCTCTCAGCACGAGCGGTGTCATTGCATTTCCTCCACTTGCACTGACGGTTGTTAAAATGTTTGTTCTAAGGCGGAATTTGTGACCAGTCAGCACATCTTTTTCTTGGACCCTAAGATCCTGAAGGGCAAGAAGGGTAGAGAATTTGCCATCATTCCACAGATACTTTTTCTAGTGCAGTTGTATTAGAATGTGTGTGTACTTAAAATGCTAGTATAACTAGATACTATTATCATGTACAGTAGAAAGAAGAATATTGTGCTTCTGGGAAAAAATGTACTTTTTACTTTTATTTACCTACTGATAGATCTAAAATGACAAGTTGAAGGTTTATATATAACAGATATCTATCTGCCCAATAGTGTAGAAGAATTTTTATTGGAAATTATTGTTCGAAGTAAACAATTTTCGTGGACTTCTAAGTACCCAACTTGAAATCCAGTTTTAACTGGCCAACTATCATTTGTGGAAAGACCTTTTTTCAAGAAGCTCATGTTAGGAAATTATATTAAAATAATAAAATATAATGGTATGTATTTATCAGTACCCTTATACAGTTTTAAATTGCTAATAATGATGGCTTCTTGGAAACTATAGAACATTTGTGTGGAAAGATAGTTAGCATGCTTGGGAGAAAAAAGTTCAACTTTTTATATTTTTTTCCATTAGAATACTGCAAAATCCATATATCTTTTAAAATAAATATATATACTCAGTATTCACCTGAAAAGAAGATTTAATGACGTGTTTGTTCTTGGAGCATATTAATATTTTATTTCTAGAAAATTTTCATTATAAAGAATCACTTGTGGGAAATCATGAAACACAAGGTTAGCTTGACCAGACGGTTCTTTCAGAAACTGTAAATATCTTCTAAAATATTCTGAAATAATACAATAAGCTCTTCTCAGAAATATAGCACCCGTGCTGTTCATGTTCTGATTGTAAATGCGTTATTACCAAAAATTTAGCAGTGGCATATAAGAGTATTTATCGGTGCTGATAAGATGCATAGTAAATTTAGTATGAGCAGTACATTATGAAGCTCAATAAAACACAACATTAATATGTTTGCATCAGGTCCGTCGGTTGAACGTCTGCAAGTTCGCATTCACTGAAGTCGAGTCTGTGACAGCAGTAGTAGTTAGGGGAAATTGGGTAGCAGTAACGTAGGTAGATACTGGTTTAATGCCTTAAGGTGTGTACATATTTTTCAAATGAGCCGGTCCTTGAGAAATTGCAGGGCTGTGTGAAGACTCCTGAGAATACTCTTTGGTCATAGAGTTATGCTTCGTGGGACAGCCGAAGGCACCTCCCCAGGTTCCGGGAGGGCCTCAGTGCCAGTCTGAACCTCAGTACTGGGAACCCTAGGTGGGCCCTTTCCCACCAGTGGGTGGTTTGTGTGTGCATGTGTGTGGCTATTCCCGAGCAGGACCACCTCCGGGGCACCGCCACTCCCCCCACACCCCCGATCCCTCCTGCCAGGTTCCTCTACATTACTGGACTACAGACTAAAACAGATTATGCTTGAGGGGCAGAAAGGTGAGATACCAATATATTTGCATAGAAATCTGCATTCAAGTATTTCTTGGAAACAAATCTTTATTTTAAAATATATGCTGAGTGGCTTAAATCCAATCAAATCACAGGTACAAATGAGCTTGAATGTAGATTTTTATGTAAATATAGATACTTTACATACCTTCTTATACTGTAACTTTCAGGGTTCTCACAGTAGCTCCTATCACCCTGTAGTACGTGGGGTTTGTAATTCCTGTTAGACTACTTGAGGGACACCAGAGGGCAGTTCCTCGGGGACTACATAAGCCGATGTCCTCTCGGCGCCCTCTTTTGGTTAAGGGCTGCAATTATACTGGCTCGACGTAGATCCACTGCCCTGAGAGTGCTGGGTGGCTTAGATCCGGGCCTGTCGGAGGTACAAATTTGGCAGAACCATTTGATGAAAATGGATGTGTTGCTATGTCTGAGATCAGTCTTTTTTAGTTTATAGACATGTGGTGTGTTTTGCTGCTTTTCTGTTGATTCTGAACTCTTTTTATTAACAGCCCTCAAATTAGATCAGGATAAAGCTAGTTTGTGGATTTTATTGACACATTATCCTGGGAAGATAATTCATAAGAATTAGACATACGTTTATTTAAAAATTGCCAGTTTTTATCAAACAGATGGTGTGTGTTGGGGCGGGGGGGAGGGGGAGGGGCGCACAGCTGCAAGCAGGCACGCCCTGCGCTCAACCACTAAGGAGAGGGCTGAGTCCTCTGGGGTTGTCAGTGCCATAGGGGCCCTGGGGGATCTGTGCACGACAAGAAACCATGGCCTGGTCCTGCACCAGCCTCACAACTGTCCTTACGTTTGAGCCCTTACGTGTCACTCTGTATTGTTGGGGGTCTTCCTCTTTTTCAGTGTCCTCTTCTTTTCCAAGCATGATGTCCTTCTCCAGGCTGGTCTTCCAGAGCACCAGACCAAGTCTTGCCATCCTAGCTTCTGAGGAGCATTCTGGCTGTACTGCTTCATGTTTGTTTTGTCTTGTGTTTTGGGGTTTGCTTGTTTCATTTTATCAGAGGTATGCCTTAGCTGTAGTAGCCCATCCAGTGTATTTTGGGATTACCATGAAAACGGTGACAGAGCAGTGACTGGTGTGATCTGCATGCTGGACTAAAGTGCTTTTTAAACACTCCATTTCACTCGAAACAAAATGAACATGAACAAGTTTGACATCAGTGAAGCCGCTTATGGGACTTCTTAAAAAAGAATAGCACTGCTCTAGATACTGCAGGTTAGACCTACTGAACAATTATATTTTCTGTTGTTCTTTTCTGCAAATAGAAATGTCTGTGGGTGCAGCATGGTCTGAAACTTGTTGACAAACTCGACTTGAGTTTGGAATCCCCCAAACAGTAGCCATTGAATTTATAGAGCTCTCTGTCTTTGGTAACCCAGACAAGGTTTAAAAATACTAAGTGAGCTGGTGGTCCATTATAAGAAAAACATGTGTTTTTGCCTAAGAATTGTATGAATATTTCTTGTTAACTTAGACACTTTAAGTTGCAGCTGAACATTACGCAGTGGCAGAGAACGTAAGCACACCCTGAGTTCACAATCACAGCTGTCTGAACACTTCGGCCAGAGTGAACAGTGCATTTCTGCGAGGGTTTTAGTTGTCATTTTTCTCTATGATTAATGATTGCCTATAGCTAATGTTTATCAACCATGACTAGTTAGCAAAAATACATTTTCTGCAGAACTTATTTGGGAGCTACTCTTATTGTGAAAATGGACAGTTTCCAATCCTGAAGCTTGAACAAGCATGGAGACAAACAATACATTTGTCTGCGTGTTCATCATGGGACAGTTTGAGTGCTCACACACGTATTGCATAGCTGAGCACTATAACCGCGTGGGGTGGCAGGTCCTGTTGAGCAATGAGTTACACAGTTCCTGGAGGAGCTGCTGGGCTCTCTATCTCTGGCTGCTTGACCTTGCTTAGCCAGGTCTCCTAAACTGCAAGCAGACCTCGGAGGCTGCATTCCGTTTAGACCACAACAGTCGGACTGGTGTCTCAATAAAGCGGGTCCCAAGTGTTTGTTGTTGTTGTCTCCCCAGTGTGTATAAATGTAGGTGTACACTTGACTTCCCGTCTTTGCAGTATAATCAATAGCACTGTGAGATGGTTTTAAATATTGTGAGACTCACCAAAGTGTGACACCTCGCAAAGGCAGCACATGCTGCTGGAAAACCGGCACTGCAAGGTGTGCTGGGTGTGGGCTTGCTTCGAACCTTCAGTCTGGCTTGTTTTTAAAGGCAGTATCTGCAGAGCGCAGGAGAGCAGCACAGTAAGACAAGGGGGGGCCTGTGGAGTTCCTTCATTACTTTTTTGATCATGCCTCTAACATGTATTTATTGGTCAGCTTTCCATTTACAAACTTCAGGTGATATACTAATAGATACAGGTATTTGATTTTTGCCCAACTCTGCCATTACTACTCTAAAAACAGGTGTTGGCAAGTATAATTAGCAAATGGTCACGTATCTTTAGTATCTTCTACATTTAGTATCTCCTTAACCAATGACTGTATGCTGAAGTCCCATATTTGTTATCTGCTGTGGTGACCCCCTCCCCCGCCCCCAAAGAACATTATTTTTGTTGCTACTTCATAACTGTCATTTTGCTACTGTTGTGAACCGGGTGACCCGTGAAAGGGTCGTTCGACCCCCACAAAGGGGTCGCGGCCCACAGGTTGAGAACCGCTGGTTTAGAGGGCACAGACCGGGTGGTATTTGTTCTGTTGTTCTTGGGCTCACTACGCATTGGAGCCCAACGTCGGCACCTAATAGGCGGTAAAGCTGGTAAACAGCATCCTCTGGAGACCAGGCAGACACTGACTAACCACTTCAGCAGAGGGGCTGCCCAAAACCAGGAAGCCCAAACCAGTGGACTGTGCTGCACAGCTGTGGGTCGCTCTCGTTCCAGCCAGCCTTCTTACATCACCAGTGAAGCACCCCCTACTCTCTTCACCCAACTTTTCTGGCTAGTCATTAGTCATTTGACCCGCTTTATTGAGACACCTGTCCCTAAGATGAGACAAGAGAAAGGACGTTTTGATGATAAAAAAAAAAAATACGGAAAAAAACCCCCAAAACCTGTTAAAGCCCAGTGGCTTAAAAATTTTAAGTTCCCTTGCTATTTCTGTTTTGAATTAACACTAGCAGGCCGTAGTGCAACACAGAAGAGCAGACACAATGGAAAAGGGTGTGTCTTTAAATACTGCACACTGATAATAAAGGAAAAGTTTTGAGCACACAAGTACTTTCCTGAAGTCATGCCATCAATAGGCCCAAAGGCAGGGAAAGTCCAAGCACTGACTGGGCTGGGAGAGAGGATACCATCATCTTTCCAGAGACTGCAGCCGAGGGTGCTATTGATCCTTCGACTCTACTTTAGAATTCAACTGAGAAGGGCTAAATACAGAGCACAACACACTTAGTGACTCAGCCATCACCCCAGAGGGTGATGCTTACAGCAGATAACAAATATGGGACTTCAGCATACAGTCATTGGTTAAGGAGATACTAAATGTAGAAGATACATGTAGAAGATACTAAAGATACGTGAAAGGGTCACGGCATCAGGAAGGTTGAGAACCACTGCTCTAAATGCTTGCTTTGTCTAAGCCCATTGTTGCAGCCGCTGCATCAGTCCTTGCCGAGGGTCTTCCTCTTTCGCTGCCCCTCGGCCACGTTTTACTGGAGTGGTGGCTGCTGCCCAGGAACACTGGTTTGAGGTATGTTTTCTAAGAGATTTAATTTACATTGCTGTTTCTTCTTCAGTTTCCTTCTTTCAGAAATCATCAGGAGTTTTATATATCATACTTGGGCAGTGTATGTTAGTGTAAAAGTTACAAATCATACAGCTCTTTTATACAAAGCAGAAATGAATCATTTTCCCAGATTTGATGGAAAAAACTAGGACCCTCTCTAGGGTACTCCTACTACAAAGAGAGGATAGTAAGAATTATGGCAAAGTTTGTCACTAGAGGAAAACCCAACTGTTCAGATGGATCTGAAGGGTGACCTTCTCCTTGTCTTTGGGGCTGCATTGGGAGTTCTTGGTATCCGGGACGCCATTCCCACAGGCTTCCTGAATTCCCGTTGCATGTGATGCATTGCTCCCCACTGTTGTTCCCCGTTCTGATCTCTGGGGTGTCTGTCTACAACTTTACAGTAGAAAAGATGAATGAAGTCACAGAAAATGTGTTTCATCTGGTAGTTTTGCGTACCTGTTTGGCTGAGGACAGGGTGTACTTGCTTGTAGGCAGTTAATCACAGGGGAAGTTTGCCTGCACATAACGTATCGGGTGACATGTTAGCCTAATGGTGCCTGAAGTTCCAGCTTGTGTTTAACAACCTCGACAGTTAAAACAGAACCTGGTGCTACTCGCTTTAGCGTTGAGTGACATTCTAATTCCTGTACCAAAGAGTTCATTTTCTTTTTTGGTTGATTGAGATTTTCTTCTCACATGCGGTATTTATAAAATGGAATTTAATGT